TGCCTATTGCCGCTAGACTATCACAATGTATACAAATGGGTGCCAAAGGTTTGGGCCAAAATGAAATATCTTCCGAGAAATTCCGAAGCCATTCAGCTTCTTCACCGGCCATATCTAAAGCAATGAATTCAGATTCTATTGTAGAACGGGCTATGCACGTTTGTTTGGATGATTTCCAAGGCACTGCTCCACTCCCAATTGTTAAAATATATAAACTCACGGATTTAACTTCAGATGATCCGGTGATCCAATTTGCATCACTATATCCCTTAATCACTGAGGGATATTTGTTATAATGCAAAACATAATTTTGGGTATGTTTTAGATACCCCAAAACTCGTTTCATTGCAATCCAATGTATTTTATTTGGATTACTTGTAAACCGACTCAGTTTGCTAATAGCACATGCTATATCTGGTCCCGTACAATTCATGATATACATCAAACTTCCCAATACTCTTGCATAGTCCAGGACTGAGTCACTTTCACCCTCATTCTTTTGAAGTGCATAACTCACGTCAATAGAGTCTTGGCAATCTTGAAATCCAAATACTTGAACTTGCCAAGTACTTTTTCAATGTAGTGAGAATGTGATAATGCTAGACCTTGTGGAGTCTTATGAATTCTGATTTCTAAGATCACGTCAGCAGCTCCTAAATCTTTCATGTCGAATTTGCTGGCCAACATGCGCTTAGTAGCATTTATATCTGCCATATTTTTTCTCATTATCAGCATATCATCAACATACAAACAAACAATGACTTCATGACCTGGAGTATTTTTAATGTAAACACATTTATCACACTCGTTGATTTTAAACCCACTTGCCAACATTGTTTGATCAAATTTGGAATGTCATTCTTTGGGTGCTTGTTTAAGCCTATAAAGTGACTTAACTAGTTTGCACACTTTCTTTTCTTTACTCGGAACCACAAAACCCTCAGGTTGTTTCACGAAAATCTCTTCCTCCAATTCTACATTTAAGAAATCTGTTTTAACATCCATTTGATGAATTTCAAGACCATACACAACCTCCAGTACCACTAACACCCTAATAGATATTATTCTCGTTATTGGCGAGTAAGTGTCAAAGTAATCAAGACCTTCCTTTTGTCTATAACCTTTGACAACAAGTCTTGCATTATATTGTCAATAGTGCCATCAGCTTTCATTTTCCATTTGAACATCCATTTTGAACCTAAAGGGATATTACCCGGAGTAAGATCAACCAATTCCCATGTATAGTTATCCAAAATTAATTGAATCTCACTATTGACTGCCTCTTTCCAAAATGGTGAATCAGAAAATGACATAGCTGCTTTAAAAGTTTGAGGCTCATTTCAAGCAAGAATCTCACAAAATCTGGTCTAAAGGAAGTAGATGTTCTTTGACGTTTGCTACGCCTTGGATCTTCTACACTTGGAGTATTTTCCTTTGGTTCTTCCCGTGGTCGTTTAGGCCTTTCACTTAACGACTCGCATTCAGTTTTATACGGTTAGATGCTGTTAAAGAATTCAGCATTATCTGATTCAATTACCGTATTAACATGAATTTCGGGATTATCAGATTTATGAACCAAAAACCAACATGTTTTACTGTTTGTAGCATATCCAAGAAAAACGTAATCCACAGTTTTTGGTCTGATTTTTACCCTTTTAGGTAAAGGTATTTGTACCTTTGCTAAACACTCCCACACTTTGAAATATTTCAAGTTGGGTTTCTTCCTTTCCATTTTTCATACAGAATAGATTGCGTTTTGATATGGGGTACTCTGTTGAGTATTTAGTTAGATGTAAAGATATCTTCCCCCAACAAATGGTAATCCGGAACTTATTAAAAAAGAATTCATCATTTCCTTTAATGTCCGGTTTTTTCTTTCCGCAATTGCATTGGATTTAGGTGTGTAGGGTGCAGAAGTTTGATGGATAATTCCATATTCCGAACATATTTCTGCAAGCGGAGATTCATATTTTCCACCCCTATCACTTCTAATCATTTTGATCTTTTTATTCAATTGATTCTCTACTTCATTCTTGTGTTGTTTAAATTCTTCAATTGCTTCATCCTTACTATTAAGCAAATAAATATAACAATATCGAGTGCAGTCATCAATAAAAGTTATAAAATACTTTTTTCCACCTCGAGATGGTGTCGACTTCATATCACAAATGTCAGTATGAATTAATTCTAAAGGATTTGAATTTCTTTCAACAGACTTATAAGGATGTTTTACAAACTTAGATTCAACACATATTTGGCATTTTGATTTATTACACTCGAATTTACGCAATACTTCTAAATTAATTAACTTCCACAAGGTTTTGTAATTGACATGTCCTAAATGAATATGCCATAAATCGTTTGACTCCAATAAATAAGAAGAAGCTGAAATTTTATTCATACTATCAACAACCATTACATTTAGTTTGTAAAGGCCCTCTGTGAGGTAGCCCTTTCCAACATAAATTTCATTCTTGTTTATAAAAACTTTGTCAGAAACAAATACACATTTGAATCCATTCTTAACAAGTAACGAAGTAAAAACTAAATTCTTCCTAATAGCAGGAACATGAAGAACGTTGTTGAGCGTTAACACCTTGCCGGAAGTCATCTTCAAGGAATATCTTCCCATAACCTTCAATCTTGGTTGTTGCAGTATTTCCCATGGAAAGCTCTACTTCGGGACCAGCAATAGAGTAAGTCGCAAATGCTTCTTTGACAACACAAACATGTCGAGTGGCTCCAGAGTCAATCCACCACTCCTTCGGATTTCCAACTAGGTTGCATTCCGAAAACATTGTACATAGATCATCAATGTCATCATTCTTCTCCACTATGTTGGCCTTTCCCTTCTTCTTATCCTTTTTCGGAGACGACAATCAAGGGCTTAGTGACCAGTTTTTCCACAATTGTAGCAACTGCCCTTAAATTTCTTTTCGTTCTGCTCCTTAGTTTGTCCAGAAGACTTCTTCCTCTTCTTATTTTTTGGAGCAGTCTCCACAACGATATTAGCTCCCATGATCGTTGAATTTCCACGTGACTTCTTCCCGGCTGTTTTGTTGTTTTCCTCAATCTTGAGACGAATCACAAGATCTTCCAACTTTATTTCTTTGCGCTTGTGCTTAAGATAGTTCTTGAAATCTCTCCAAGAAGGAGGTAATTTTTCAATCATTGCAGCCACTTGAAATACTTCATTAACGACCATACCTTTAACAATAAGGTCGTGAAAAATAAGTTGAAGCTCCTGAAGGGGTTCCAACAGTTTTGCGGTCTATCATTTTATAGTCTAGAAATATGGCAGCCACAAACTTCTTCAAGCATGCATCTTCAGTCTTGTACTTCAAGTGCGTCCCATAATTCTTTCGAAGTATTCATAGCACTGTAGACATTATACAAGTCATCCTCCAAAGCACTTAGGATATAGCCTTTGCAAAGAAAATCTGCTTGTTTTCACGCCTCAACAATCATAAACTTTTCATTGTCCGGCATGTTGGTGGCAGGCACTGGAGTCTTCATTAGTGAACTTCTGCATACCAAGTGTGTTAAGCCAGAAAAATACCCTTTGTTGCCATCCTTTGAAGTTGACTCCAGAAAATTTTCCCGGTTTCTCGGCCGGTGGAATAACATTTCAGCTTGACGAGGCTATCGTCGTTGCCGCAACAGTCGCAGAAGAATTTTTGTTATCAATTGTCATTTCTCACTGTCAACAACAGAAGAGTTAAATTAATGACAAAAAACAAAACAATAAACAATATTCTAATTAACGATAAACAGTACTTTTAATAAATAAAAACCGAAGTTTTTATATACCGTTTCACAGAAAAGGATGAAGTTTTTATGTTCTTCAAATCGTTTTTGAATTTCTATACTCCGATGAAGTTTTTATATCTTCAAATCAGAATAGAAAAATTCAGAAGGACACATGTTTTAATCTCCACAAACAGAATACAGATTAAAAATGTAATTTCCTTAAGATTGCTAGAAAATTTGTATAATGAACAGCGAACCACTAATCCAGGAAAGGAAATGGACCGAACCGGCTCGCGAGTTATTCCAATTGAATTTTCGTTAATTAATTAAATTAGTTAATTAAATAACTGAAAGGAATTTTGTCCAAAAAGATTAATCAATCAATCTTTGGCCAAAGCCGAAGCCGAGCCGAGTGAGCGACGACGACGACGATGACAGCGCGAGGCTTGCCTTCTTCCTAACTCTTTAAAAGCCGGAAGAAGAGCAATTGTATATATGCCCATCAAAAGTCTATTCTTCCTCCAATATGGGACAATGTCTCTTTGCCAATGAAGGAAACCAAAATATTTCATTTTTCCTCCATTTCTCATTCGCCCTTTTTAAGCTAAACCAAGCTTAAAAAGCCCAACACTTCAATAGGTCTTATGCGCGCAGTACGAATTCGAATTAGCCGGGGCTTCGACTTATTATGGGGGGAAATAAAAAACTGTCCAGATACTCACCCATCCTGCTTGTTATGGGTTGTTGACTAACGTTGGTGTGACATTGTGAAAACTATGTTTTTGGTCGGTGGTCGGTGATTTTGAATTTCTGGAGGATGGGCCATCTGCCTGTAGATGTGATTGTGTTTTACGGTATTAGAGTTGAAATACACACTCCCATTACACCTCCAGTTGTCCAATTACAATCTCTGTCTTCTACCTGCTGTTTTGACATATGCCGATCACTATTTACATAATATTTCACATTGCGACTGATATATGCACCGCACCTTAATTGACTCTTATGGTGTCCTTTTATTCTACCTCCCTTTTCGTGCATGTGCATCTAAATTAAAACATGTTAAACAATAAATTAAATGTCGCAATTCCCTCTCAAATCCCATTTGTGGGATTGCATTGAATTTGTTATTGTTATTGTTGTTGTTGTTATTGTCCAATGTGAGACTTTCATATAATCGAATAGTCTCTGTATGATAAAAAAATATTAACTCTATTGTAAATAAAGAAAGATTTACAATGGACCTCATTTTATTAAAAATATGCAAGCTAAGTGACCTTAATAACTTGTTGCATAAATGGTGACGACCTCATTTTTTAATTATCGTTATCACAGACAAGATTATAATTTCCGAATATAATTACCAAGTGTAGTAAGTAGAAAACAAATCTATTCCTTTTCTGAACCAAACATCAAAAAGGCATTAGCTAACATCTGTCCAAGCTGGACCTCTGCTGGAGTACTAAGATGCACATAATCTGGGCCTACTTTGAGCCCATTAGCATCAACTGTTTTAACATTTCTAAGGTGAATATCCAATTGGGCCTGTCTGACAATTTCCTTATAATGCCCCAGTGTTGTTGCCAATGCCACCTGTTCAACCACAACAAAGCCCAAATCACAGGGAAAGATAAAGACTAAAGCGTCAACTAGCGAGCTAAATACATTTAAAAGAAACTCAAACTCGACTATGCTTTAAGTTATTAGGGGTGTACAAACGAAACCGTACCAACCCGATAATCCGAGTCAAATCGAGAAAAAAACTCGACTATAGTTTGTTTTGATTTGGTTTGGTGTTGGAAAAAGAACCCGATCATAACTGGTTGGTTTGGTTTGGTTTTAACTAAAAAAAGTCAAACCGAAACCAAACCAACCCGACAATGTAGTGTAGTTTATAAATATTTCTTAAGATATTTCATAGTTTTATCTTGTAGCGTATTAGCTCAAGCTTTTGGACTTATAATTTTTGGATGCTCCAATAAGTTTTATAGTCCATAAATGTTAGTTACTCAAATAAGTCGTAAACCAAAATCAAATCAATACTAATGCTAATAAAAGATTGCAACTCATTGTACTATGAATAAAAATAGTGTTGGATATCTATTTTTAGTTTTTTCATGGTTTAGATAAAATGCATAACTTATTTTTCTTTTAGTGTTTAGTTATATAAATAATAGTATTTATTAGTCATACTTGTTTTAGCAACTTAGTAATTTTAAATTATATATTTTTTATTATGGCTTATTAATAATATTTATTTTATGTGATTTTATTATCTTTATTGTTGAATATCTTAGTACAATGTCATGACTCGTCTCATATTTACAACAACAACATACCCAGTATTATCCCACACTGTGGGGTCTGGGGAGGATACTGTGTACGCAGACTTTACCCCTACCTTGTGAGGATAGAGAGGTTGTTTCCAATAGATGCTCGGCTCAGGAACTCATCTCATATTTATGTTATTTTATTGAAAAACACCTTATATAGTTTTGTCTTACTAGAATTAAAGAAATATTTGGAACACAAATTCTATATTTTGTGCAATGAAGATAATGAAAAAAAACCCGAAAAAACCCGAAAATTCGAGAAAACCGAGATTAAAAAACCCGACTTTTATTGATTTAGTTTGGTTTTTAGATTTAATAAACGGACATAATTAGTTTGGTTTGGTAATTGGAAAATCCGAACAACCCGACCTATGTATACCCCTAAGTTATATACAATATATAATAGGATAAAAATTTAATTGAATGCTATTCAAAATGCTATAAGTAATATACTTACTATTCATAAAGAACAAGAAACAAAAATTATATACTTGTTAATTATTAGCTGGCACTTAATGCGTGACAGTCTAATCTTTATTATAGTTGCAAGATATTGTTTGCTTTGATCTAATATATGTCATCGATTTATTTCCTAAAGAGTGACTCATAAGTTAATGATTTTTTATATATGAATAAAATCTTATTCCTATAATCATATATCTGATGTGAACACCATTAATCTCCTTTCTTAATTGGGTCTCTTGTATGTAATTCACAAGTTAGTTAGGATCTTCTTCTTTTCTTTTTTTTGTGTGTACTTTCTATATCTCTTGTTCTAATTCCCAAGAATCATCTATGTATTTACCAATTAAATACTACGTGTTATAAATAAAGTTTTATTTAAGGTGAATGCCTATATTTTAGACAGATTTTAGGGATTTTACTTGGTGGCTAAATCACCTTTTAAATAGAGGGGTCCTATGATATTGTAATTTATCTCAAAGCAATAAGAATTCTCTCTCTCTTTCTTTGCAATATTCTTCTTTATTATTTTATTACACGTTATCAGCACGAGACTCTACCGTCTCAAGAAGCTCTTTGAGAAGATTAAGGTATAACTTTTCTCTCTTCCTACTTTTCTCCGCAATACGCTTCTTCTTCTTTTATTGTTTCATAACACTACGAGTATTATTTTTTATTTTTTTGAAGAAAAAAATCCCAAGAATATTCTAAAACAAAAGATTCTACAATCTTGATTAGAATTGATGAGGCTAGCTTTCTAAATTAGATAGTTTGATCCTCATACTTGTCACATAAAATGGAACACTCAAAATAACTGTATACACTAGTAATATAAAGAAAACGTTGAAATTACCTGAATAATAGGGAGGGAAGGTGCATGCAAGTCATTGCGCACATCGGTGAAGAATTTCTGCAATCTTGAATTATACAATTTTGCATCCTCAAGATCCAAAGTATCACTCTCTCCTTGATACCACAAAAGTGCTCGAACTCTCCCACCACCTTGTAACGCAGTCTCAGTTCTATTTAACATCTGATTGTAATAAGAAGATCCTTTAGACCATTGGCTAATATTTGTGGAACCAACAGCACATGGCACTAAACCAATCACACCTATTTTTGGGTCATTTTTCAAGACTGAATTAGCAAATGACATGCCAGGACCAATCCCACAAACTGCATAATAATCAATGTCTTGATGCATTGGCTCCTTTGCTTCTTCCCATAGAAGTTCAGCTGTTAGCCTAAGAATTCTTGGATTGGATTGACATTCAGGTGGAATATACTCATCCCATTTGTTATGCACTACCCCTCCTCTGCCGGACATGTTGCTTTGGCCTGCTAAAATAAATATGTTTTTGTTACCATTTGTTGTATGTGCAATGCTGACACAAAAGGGGTGTGCAGCCAAAAGAATCAAGAAAATATAGGGCAACATCTTTTTCTTGGGGATGTAGTGGCTGAAAGAGAAGCAAAGCAGGCAGGTTGGAATTGAGTATTTAAGTATGACAAAGAGAAATAGGAAGAAAAATTATGTAACTATTACGTAATTAAGGCCAGTGAAGCTGCAGTTGATGTGTCATATGGTTAAAATTTGGAACGATGCGTTAATGATACGGCCAAAACTGTCCTATAATTCTTGAGAAGATAGATTGGTTACCAATTTGGCAATGGATGCATTAATGCAAATGAACAAAAATGATCTCAACTCTTGAGATGACAGCTTGGTTACAAATTACCATTTAAAAAGTACCAAGTGTATAAGCAGTAGCGAGCAAATCTTGGCACCAAAAAGTGATTTATAGTACCTGTCAAGACACAGTTGATTTCATATGCATATGATAGTTTCCAAATAAGTGCAGCTTCATATGATAAGTTAAGGATATGAATATAATAGTTTCAGAGTAAACTATGATTTCATATGGTAATTAAGTTGGCAATACGCTGCATATGATAGTTTTCTAGTAAACTGTGGCCTCACATGATAAGTTGGAAAGGATGCATATGATGTTTCCATAGTAAATTGTGCCAACCCCTCCCCCCCCCCCCCTCCCCCCAAATATCAGTGGCGAAGCCACCCTATGGTTAGCATGGTCAATTGATTACTCTTTATCGAAAAATTATACTGCGTATATAGGTAAAATATTATGTTTTAGAGGTACATAACATATATTGAACACCCTTTGTCGGAACTTTTTTTTTACTTATTTCAAGTTTAAACACCCTTAATAAAAATCTTGGCTTCGCCACTGCCCAACACCCCCATCTCAAGGCGGCTTTAATAAAAATTAAAAAAGGTGAACTGTGGCTTCATTTTGTTAAGTTCGTGAGGATGAATACATATGACCGGCTACAAATAGTGTACAGACTGACGTCTTGAGACGACAAATTAATTATCATCTTAACATATATAGATTACTATACGTAAGGTGAGGAGCAATGCACAATCTCGGTATGAGGTCCCACAGAATATTCAAGTAAAAAAAACTTAGATATATTAAACACCCGTATAATATACTAACTCTGTTTCGGATACATCTTTTGTATTTTAAAATCAAACGCTTAAACCCTCTATATTATGAAATTATACACTCACACCCATGTGAGTTATAAAGATAAATAATTATATTAACACATAATAATTAAAAATACAAATAAACCTCTTACATAATGAAAATCATACACAAATAAAACATCATCCAAGTAAATTTAAGATAATTTTGAAGCAGGAGAATAAATAAACTAAAATAAAAATGAGAAATTTCTGTATAATATTATAATTATATAAAATTACAAATAAGTTACATGTTTAAAGTGCAAGAAAGTTATTACAAATAGTTGGTATATTTTATTAACTAATTTATTTCCATTTCATATCTATGAGTTTCTTGTTTCAAAAAGTACTTATTCTCTTTATTATCAAAGACGTGAAAATACTTTTCAACAAAAATATTTATTCTCTTTTTAAAATTTTGTAGAAATAAATAGGTACAAAATTTTTATATTGTAAAGTTAATTTATTTTTTAATTATTATATTTTAAATACTTTGTTGTGGATATACCTCGTAGAGAAAAACTATAGTGTGAAATATTTTAGAACCTAATTCTACGTTTCGAAGCCTTAAATACCTCATCTTAACCATCCTCGATTTGCGTAGCAGTCCGCGCATGTTTTCGGAAAGCTTTTATGTTAAAAATTGAGAAAATATGAAATTTTTGCCTTAAAATCCATTTGAGTTGACTTTGGTTAATGTCTTGAGTAAACGGACCCACCCGGATTCGTGTTTTGACGGTTCCAGTGGGTCCGTATCGTGATTTAGGATTCGGGCGTATGCACGAAGTCGAATTTGGAAGTCCCTAGCCCGAGATATCGGACTATGTTGAATTTTGAAAGTTAAAGGCTTAATGAATTTGAAATGTTTGACCAATGGTTGACTTTTTGGATATCGGGTCAGTATTTTAGTTTCGGAACCCGGTATAGGTCCAATATCATATTTATGACTTGTCTGTCAAATTTGGTGAGAAACAGAGTTGGTTTGACGTGATTCGGACGTCCGGTTGTGAAAATAGAAGTTTTAAAGTTTTCTTGAAAATTTCATTTGATTTGGTGTTCAATTCAGTGTTCTAGGTGTTATTTTGGCGATTTGATCGCGCAAGCAGGTTCGTATGATATTTTTAGACTTGTGTGCATATTTGGTTCAGAGACGCGAGGGCTCGGGTGAGTTTCAGATAGGCTACAGAGTAAATTTGGACTTAGAACATTGCTGGTGTGTTTCGGGTCTGGTGCAGGCCTCAGACCTCGCAAATGCAGGATTCGCATTTACGACCTCTGATAGGTTCTCATTTGCGAGCAACTCATCACAATTGCAAAGAGTAGCTGGGGCACCACATGTTTGCATTTGTGAACAATTCTTCGCATTTGGGAATTGGGACAGGGGGAGGTAGTGATCGCAAATGCGATCAAATGGTCGCATTTGCGGAGATCATGGTTCGCATTTGCGAATATTTCATCGCATTTGCGATGAAAGCAGAAATGTGAAGAGCTTCGCATTTGGCGATGGATTCGTTGCATTTGTGGGGTTCGCATTTGCGAACCCCAGGTCGCAAATATGACATCTGCAACTGATCAAAATGGGAGTTAGACAGGATTTTTGTTCATTCTCTCAAATTTTCAAACTTAAGAACCCTAGAGGCGATTTTTCAAAGGACTCTTCTTCCCCAAATCATTGGTAAGTGATTCTAAACTAGTTCCTTTCAATCTTTCACTACTTTTCCTAAAAATTCAACCTAAAATCTTGTGTTTTCATGGTGGAAATTGGGGGTTTGGGTAGAATTAAAGATTTTTGTAAAATGGGGATTTAGACCTAAGATTGAGGTCGAATTCCAAAATAAATTACATAATAGGGTTCGGGGGTGAATGGGTAATCGGTTTTTGGTCGAATTTGGGGTTTGGACCAAGCGAGCCCGGGAGTTGACTTTTTCAATAATGACCAAAATTGAATTATTTGCAATCGTGGGTAGTTCTAAGGCTTAATGTGAATCGTTTGGTTGGTAATTTGCTAGATTATATTAGTCTAGAGGCTTGTTTGAAAGGCAAAGCCGTGGTTGAGCTTTGAATTGGTCCTTTGGAGCGCGTTAAGTATCGTGGTTAACCTTGACGTGAGGGATTGGGACTTATTTGTCTATTTGCTACATGTTTAGATGTTGGGTACAACGTATATGTGAGGTGACGAGTACTTATGTGTTGTTGTCGGGTTAAAGCATGTGGGTGGGACTTGTTTCTTGCTATTATTGTCTCCTTTGTTCATGTTATTCATGCTTAGACTAGTTAGATATTAACTGATCGTTCTTATCGTGCTTATGGGATTTTGTGATAATTGAGTATTGATTCCAAGTTGAGATTGGTATTGTGGAACAGTTGTTGAATTAAGGCTTGTACTTGTTGATCCTATCTCCCTGTTATTACTTGCTCATTGTTATGTGGTAAGGGAGAGTGTTAATGCACGAAGGGAGATGTCGTGCCGTATGTGAGTATTAATGCATGAAGGGTGATGTGTGTCATATTGTGAGTGTTAATGCACGAAGGGTGATGTCGTGCCATGTCATGAGAGTTAATGCGTGAAGGGTGATATCGTGCCATTTCTATTGATTTATACCGTGAGCGAGAGTAAAAGCACGAAGGGTGATGCCGTGTAGTATCATTGTTTCATTGTGAGGATGAGAGTAAAAGCGCTAAGGGTGATGTCGTGCAATTTTCTTCATTGTGCCTAATTGTTTTTGCTGGTTAAAGGCTTATTGACTGTTCTGGTTATCATTTCCGATGTATCTCTCGTATTTGGTCCCCTTAGCATGTCCCCCTCCCAATAATACATGTATAGCTTCTACTTGTTATTTTGCAAAAATACTGTTAAGTTGCACAAGTTTATCATATAGGTGTCTCGTCATAGTGTGATGACCCAAAAGGTCATCACTTATTTTTAAAATAAATTCTACATTTCGAGGCCTTAAAAACCTCTTTTAGCTTCACGTCGATTTACGTGCGTAGTCCGGGCTCGTAGCCGGAGAGCTATTATGTGAAAAATCTGTGAAAATATTGTAATTTTGGCTTAAAATGCATTTAAGTTGACTTTGGTCAACATTTTGTGTAAACGGACCCGGACCCGTGATTTGACGGTCCCGGAGGGTCCGTAAAAAAATATGGGACTTGGGCGTATGCCCAGAATCGAATTCCGAGGTCCCAAGTCCGAGATATGAATTTTTAGAAGAAATTGTTTTCTAAAAAATATAAAGGTTTTTGAAAGTGAAATGTTATGTGAAACCTGTGGTATCGGGCCCGTATTATAGTTTTGGAGCCCGATACAGGTTCAATATGATTTATATGTGTTGTTCGGTAAAGTTTGGTAAGAAACAGGATCCATTTGACGTGATTCGTACCTTAAATGCAAATTTGATGTTTAAAGAAGTTTTGTGAAATTTTATTGATTTTTAGGTTTAATTCGTTATTTAAGAGGTTATTTTGGCGATTTGATCGCATGGATAAGCTCATATGGTGTTTTTGAGTTAGTACGTATGTTTGGTTTGGAGCTCCGAGGGCTCGGGTGAGTTTTGGATGTGTTTCGGAAGGTTTTGAACTCATAAAAAGTTGCAGGTTTTCAGTTTCTGGTGTTCTGGCATTTTCTTCTTCGCGTTCGCGGGAGGACCCTCGCGAACGCGATGAGTTATTCATGCAGAAGGAAATTTCCTTCTACGCGAACGCGAGACCAAGGTCGCGAACGTGAAGCTTTGGGGGGTCTTCCCTTCGCGAACGCGGGCCTGGTATCGCAAAGGCTTATGAGCCTGGGCAGGGGTAGGGGTATTATACGTACGCGAACGCGGCCACTAGCCCACGAATGCGAAGGCTCGAGGGGTCAAAGCTCCGCGAACGCGAGCCCTTTATCGCGAACGCGAAGGTCTGTCAGGCCTAACTCATCGCGAACGCGATGAGCCTATCGCGAACGCGTAGACCAAATTCGCCCAGTTATTTTTAAGTTCAAAAACAGAACACATTACGAGAATTCCACCATTTTTCATAAACTTCATGATGTTCTAAACGTCAATACCACACAAGAGGGGGGGGGCTGATTTGTGTGGTACCCAATTTTCGCTCTAGAAGAACCTGGTTCTTCTAGGTATACTAACTACTACTGTTTGCGGAATAACAAGTACATAAAATAAAGAACACAGAGATTTTTACGTGGAAAACACCTGACTCAAA